TGAGATCTTACGTGGAGCCCCAGATCGAGGGAGATTATCAGTGGTCTTGTATGTCTTCCATTTTCTAATTATTGCTCCCACAGTTGATTTGTTCACACCAAGCTGCTTGCCTATTGCAGATTCAGTCTTCCCAGCCTGGTGCAGGTGTACAATTTTGTTTCTGGTGTCCTTCGACAGCTCTTTGGTCTTCACCATAGTGGAGTTTGGAGTGTGACTGTTTGAGGTTGTGGACAGGTGTCTTTTATACTGATAACAAGTTCAAACAGGTGCCATTGATACAGGTAATGAGTGCAGGACAAAGGAGCCTCTTAAAGAAGAAGGTACAGGTCTGTGAGAGCCAGAAATCTTGCTTGTTTGTAGGTGATCAAATACTAATTTTCCACCATAATTTGCAAATAAATTCTTTCCAAATCAGCCAATGTGATTGCCTGGATTTTTTTTCTCATATTGTCTCTCATAGTTGAGGTCTACCTATGATGCCAATTACAGGCCTCTCTCATCTTTTTAAGTGGGAGAACTTGCACAATTGGTGGCTGACTAATTACTTTTTTTCCCCACTGTAAATGTGATGACTGGTGTACTGACGGGCAATCTGACGCTATCTGGGAGGGGCGCAAATCATGTATATATATACAATATATATATATATATATATATATATATATATATATATATGTGTGTGTGTGTGATATTGCGCACCCATGCTGCCCTGTAGCAGTATTTCTGCTATAGGGCGGTCAGGAAGCGGTTACAAAAGTGGTTTGTGTTACGTCGCTGCATTACTTTAACTGACAAATGCGTGGTCATGCAACACTGCACCCAAATTAAATTTACATCCTTTTCTTTTTTTTTCCCACAAATTGAGCTTTCTTTCAGTGGTATTTGATCGCCTGTGTGTTTTATTTTTTGCGCTATGAAGAAAAAAGGCTGACAATTTTGAGAAAAAAAAACAATATTTTGGACTTTTTGCTATAAAACATGTCCAGTAAAAAAAGTAAAAATCAAATTTTGTCATAAATTTCAGCCAAAATGTATTCTGTGACATGTCTTTCCTAAAAAAAAAATCCCAATCTGTGTAAATTAATTGGTTTACGTGAAAGTTATAGCGTCTAGAAATGGCGGGAAAGATACTGGGATTTTTTTTTTATATACTAATGGCGGCGATCAGCATTTTATGGCAGTGATCAGCGACTTATGGCGGGACTGCGGCGGACATTTTGACACTGGGGGGAACTGACTTGGGGTCACTGACATCCCCAGTGACACCAATACAGTGATCAGTGCAAAAAAAAAAACACTGACACTGTACTAATGGCACTGGGGAGGAAGGGGCTAACTTTTTTTAGGCAATCAAAGGGTAACTGTGTGAGGGGAGTGTTTTACTAGTGGGGGGGGGGGGGGGGGTTGTATTTCACAGGAACACACTGATCCCCAGAGCTAAACTCCGCTCTCAGGAACAGTGTGCTGGGAACTGACAGGGAGCAGAGCTGCATTGAAAACGATGCAGCTGTGCTCTGTGTCACTGTTTGCCGGCAATCGCCGGAACCCGGCGGGTAATGACTGGCCGGGACGCGGTGATTGACACCCGCAGCTGCGATCGGCAGCTTGGGTAGGGCGGTCACTCGTGCCCCCTTCCTGTTTTGCAAAATCACGTTTTAAAATGTGATTTTGCACAGCGGTGCCGCCCTGTGGCCGTTTTTATACTGTGGCTGGCAAGCAGTTAAGTTTATTTTTGTGCTTATTGCCACACATTTATTTCCACTGCATTTTTTTTCACTGGCATTAATGCTGATTATAAGGTGCATTTTTAGTTTCATGCACCTTGTATGATTAGTTTTGCACATATATTTCTTTGCTTTTTGATTGTCACAGTTTTCTTTGCACGGTGCTTTCTGTGCCATTTTTATTTAGGGCGTGTTAGTCCTATGACAGTATATTGAATACATCATTTATGTTCACTTGTTGATTATTGTGCACGTTGTTTTCATCACATCACGTAATACGGCGTGAGTCAATAGTCTGAACGGCATTGCTAATTACAGAAACACCTGAGGGCATGAACCAATGGTCTAAACCAGGGATCCTCAAACTACGGCCTGCGGGCCATATGCGGCCCACCGAGGCCATTTATCCGGCCCGCCGGCAGGGGCGGGACAGGAAGGGACACTAAGTACAGGGGCGGGCAGGGGGCTGCTGTACCTTACCTGGCTCCGGTCCCAGTCCCCCACGACGATCCAATCCAGGAAGCACTGCTCCTTCATTCACTCCGGCCACTCTCTCACTCCTGCCGCTCGGCTCTGCCTCCTCACCAGTGAGTGGGCGCCAGAACTGTAGCTCAGGAAAGGCACACAGGTGGCCAATCACCTGCGAGGAGGCTGAGCCGAGTGGCCCTGCGAACATCGAGTGAGAGAGAGGCCAGAGTGAAGAAGGACAGCTGACAGGTAAGTGTGCCGTGTGGATGGTGCTGCTGCAACCAGGTATGCTGGCTGCAGTAGCACCTAGGCTGGAGCAGGGGTCAGCAAGTTATGTGTCATTATTGTCAGTGGGAGGAATAGTGCCCCATCATTGGTGTCACTGATACTAATGATGGGGCATTATTCCTCCCACTGACTCCAATGATGGGGCACTATTCCACCCCTCACTGACACCAATGATGGGGCACTATTCCTCCCCCCCACTGACTCCAATGATGTGGCACTATTCCACCCCCCACTGACACCAATGATGGGGCACTATTCCTCCACTGACACCAATGATGGGGCACTATTCCACCCTCCATTGACACCAATGATGGGGCACTATTCCTCCACTGACACCAATGATGGGGCACTATTCCACCCTCCATTGACACCAATGATGGGACACTATTCCACCCCCCACTGACACCAATGATGGGGCACTATTCCACCCTCCACTGACACCAATGGTGGGGCACTATTCCCCCCCACTGACACCAAAGATGGGGCACTATTCTTCCCATTGACACCAGTGATGGGGCACTATTCCCCCCCCCCCACTGACACCAATGACGTACTATTCCTCCCACTGACACCAAAGATAGGGCACTATTCTTCCCACTGACACCAATGATGGGGCACTATTATTCCCACTGACACCAATGATGGGACACTATTCCTCCCACTGACACCAATGTTGGGACACTATCCCCTTCCCCCACTGACACCAATGACGGGGCACTATCCCCCCCACACACACACTGACACCAACGATGGGGCACTATTCCTCCCCCTACTGACACCAATGATGGGGCACTATTCCTCCCCCCACTGACACCAATGATGGGACACGTTTCTTCCCAATGACACCAATGATGGGGCACATTTCTTCCCACTGACACCAATGATGGGGCACGTTTTTTCCCACTGACACCAATGATGGGGCACTATTTCGCTCCATAAGACACACTTGGGGGGAAATGTCTGTGCGTCTTATGGAGCGGCGGCCGGCCCAGTATTCCCGCCGCCATTGTATGTCTGCAGTCTTTTGGTCATTTCATGTACTATGGCCGCAGTCTCTGGTCATCTCCTGTACTGTGTCCGCATTTGTTCATAGTTTTTTTGTTTTTTTTTAAACTATAGTCCGGCCCTCCAACGGGGGACAGTGAACTGGCCCCCTGTTTAAAAAGTTTGAGGACCCCTGGTCTAAACGGTAGTACTAACTAGAACACCGCACTTCCCTCTTCCTCTCTCTTCTCTCTCTCCTTCTCCCTCTCTCTCTCTCTCTCTCCTTCTCCCTCTCTCTTCTCTCTCTCTCTCCCCCCCCATCTCCCTCTCTCTCTCCTCCCTCCCTCTCTCTCTCCTCCTCCCTCCCTCTCTCTCTCCCCTCCTCCCTCCTTCTCTCTCCTCCCTCCTTCTCTCTCCTCCTCCCTCCTTCTCTCTCCTCCCTCCCTCTCTCTCCTCCCTCCCTCTCTCTCCTCCCTCCCTCTCTCTCTCTCCTCCCTCCCTCCCTCTCTCTCCTCCCTCCCTCCCTCTCTCTCCTCCCTCCCTCCCTCTATCTCCTCCCTCCATCTCCTCCCTCCCTCCATCTCCTCCTCCCTCCCCTCTCTCTCCTCCCTCCCTCCCTCTATCTCCTCCCTCTCTCTCCTCCCTCCCCCCCCTCTCTCTCCTCCCTCCCCCCCCCCCTCTCTCTCCTCTCTCCTCCCTCCCCCTCTCTCTCCTCCCTCCCCCTCTCTCTCCTCCCTCCCCCCCCTCTCTCCTCCCTCCCTCTCTCCTCCCTCCCTCCCTCTCTTTCCTCCCTCCCTCCCTCTCTCTCTTTCCCTCCCTCCCTCCTCTCTCTCTCCCCCCCTCTCTCTCTCTCCCCTCTCTCTCCCCCCTCCCCCCTCTCTCTCTCCTCCTCCCCCCCTCTCTCTCTCCTCCCTCCCCCCTCTCTCTCTCCTCCCTCCCCCCCTCTCTCTCTCCTTCCTCCCCCTCTCTCTCTCTCCTCCCTCCCCCTCTCTCTCTCCCCCCCCCTCTCTCTCTCCTCCCCCCTCTCTCTCTCTCTCCTCCCTCCCCCTCTTTCTCCTCCCTCCCCTCTCTCTCTCTCTCCTCCCTCCCCCTCTCTCGCTCCCCTCCCTCCCTCTCTCCTCCCCCCCCTCTCTCTCTCCTCCCCCCCCTCTCTCTCCTCCCTCCCCCTCTCTCTCTCCCCTTCCTCCCCCCCTCTCTCTCCTCCCTCCCCCCCTCTCTCTCTCCTCCCTCCCCCCTCTCTCTCTCCTCCCTCCCCCCTCTCTCTCTCCTCCTCCCCCCCCTCTCTCTCTCCTCCCTCCCTCCCTCTCTCTCTCTCCTCCCTTCCTCTCTCTCTCCTCTATCCCTCTCTCCCCCTCTCCTTCTCCCCCTCTCTCTCTCCTCCCCCCTCTCTCTCTCTCTCTCCTCCCCCCTCTCTCTCTCCTCCTCCTCTCTCTTTCTCTTTCTCCCTCTCTCTTTCTCCCCTCTCTCTTTCTCTTTCTCCCTCTCTCTTCCCCCTCTCTCTTCCCTTTCTTTCTCTACAACCTGGTGTGTATGGCTTCATTTCATCTTCATCATGGCTCGCCATTCGTCACTGATAAAAGAAAAGCCATTAAAAAGTTTTTGTTCCTCCTCTGAAATAGGTGCATAACATTCTCCATTCTTGTCCATGTCATTCATCAGGTCTTCCAGCTTTATCTTCTGTCTTGTCATGTCTCTGAAACCCTGTAAAAGAGAAAGCAATGAAACCCACTGTTGGCAGAAATGCCTCCTGACTTCTGGGAACAATTTCCCCTGTATGTATCCAAGTCCCTAGGACTGTGAGATATTCTCAGTCACCACTATGCATAAGCAAGGATATGGATTTTCCACTATTAGAATTGTACAAACTCGCTTCTAAAAGTTTTATATGCGTCCCCTTATTTCACTTTCTGCCTGTTGCTATCCTCTTCTTCTTTCCCCCCCCCCCCCCATCTTCTTCCCTTTCCAGAGAGTTCCCTTTACTTCCCATCCCATAGTCAAACGGGAAGTTAAAGGAAATCCCTGCAAGTGAAGGGAATCCCTTGGGGACCCCCAGGTCACCAGAACCAGGGTCCCCTTGGAAGATTCCCCTATATTACTTTTCTGGGGATCACCCATAATTTTGGGTTCTCTTTACTTTCACTTTCAATGTTAATAGTAAGCAGGACAGACAATCTCTTTAACGGGTGAATCTCTTTAACGGGTGCAGACAGCAATAAAAACTGTCAAGGGTTCTAACTCTCTCCACTCTATCCAAAACTAAAAAAAAAGTTTGCCTTTAGTCTTACTAAGGTGTAATTCCAGGCTATATATGCTATATATAGGATATGTATATACTTTTTTTTTTTCTTCAAGCCATTTGCTTAATCTGGCTCCCCTGTGTCAGCCAGCGGCAGCTGCAAGGGAGAGGAGTGAGCACTAACAAAGGTTGGGCCATATGAACCTATGGTTGATGTTACCAGTCCCAGGCATTCCAGCCATTGTCGGAGCTCTTTCCTCTCCTTTTCAGACGCTGCTGGCTGACACAAGAAAGACGGGTCACCTGACCTTACTGGAGCAGCTTGGAAATAGGTAAGTATGTACATCGTCTTTTTTTTTTTAACTTACCTTCCGACATATGAAAAAAGGAGGGCGTGCCTCCCCCGCTTCCACTTTTTTCCAGTTTATACATTGAAAAATGGGTGATCTTGTATGTTGGCAACATGTTCTTTGCACTTTTCTGGATCTTTGCACAGGAGCTGTAGGGGAACAAAATAGAAAAACATAAGATGACAGTTATGGCACAAAATTGATCAAAAGCAGCTTCCACTCTCCACACATCACTAGAAATACTCCACACGGTGCTGGCAATTTATATCTTAGCAATAAAAAGCAAAGCATAGTGTGGAGTCTGCGATGTGTTCTGTGCATAATGCTGCAAAGAAAGCTTGGTCATAGGTGAAGAGTAATGTCATGTGACAGGTTTCTACCACCACCTTGCACACTCTTTGTTACAATTATTAGAATGAATGGGGCTTCACTTTTTTCAGAGTCCCAAAGCAAATGAAGTTCAAACCGCATTATAAAGCACACTGGCTCCTTGGATGAGCCTAAATGTCTATTTTCCCAGTCCCGCTGGGACTGTGTCATTACGTACTTTTTCCAGAAAATCCTTGAAGTCGGGGGTCAGTGGGGGCCCGGAAGAATGGCACACCATGTATTATTATACTTGGATCGCCGAAACGGCCATGGAAGGGATAATCATTAAAGGCAGCCTCAAATAGTAAAATCCCCAACGCAAAGTAATCCGCAGCTCCATTATATGGCAATTTGGAAAGCCTCTGTGGGAAAATGGGGAAAATCAGAGAGAGATTAGGATCAGATTGACAAAGCAGACTGGAAAGCAGAAGCATCATTTTGAACAAGGCTCCACCCAGACATTTCATTTTTAAATGTATAACTTCGTTATTTTAGCAGCATCCGACCTCTATGTATAGCACAGACAAACTAGCCTTTGCACACCATCCAGTTTCACTGTCTGTACACACAGAGCTACAAGGAATATTCGCTGCCCCTTGCCAAATTAACAAGAGTGATTTTTATCCTGACAGATTTTTATTAAGAGGGATACTGAATGAATATCAAATAATCCTGAGCAAAGAGATGGGACCCCCAGGGCTGGACCCAAATGGAATGTGAGATTTCTACAGTACAATTAGAGCAGTTATTTCCTTTCCTTATATGTCCCCCAGTTATTGGCACATTAAAGAGAATCTGTCACCATGGAATAAACCTGTCCTAGCTGAAACTTCTTTTCAGTGCTGAAGGCTGTGATTGTTCAACCTCCAAAAGTGATGCTAGCTCCTGGGCAGGCCACAACATCAGGGCAGGCCACATATAGGGACTTGCCAGCTATGGAACTAGCACTGCTGCTGGGAGTCAGTGGCTTTCTTTAGTGCCAGATGAGACCCTCAGCTGAGACTGGTAAAGACCAAGCTGATAGATTATCTTTGTTCTAGTCAATAATTGTCCTATGTATATAGGTTCTCTATCATCTAGGCCTAATCTGGTGGATATTTGCTCATTATGTTCTATTTAATTCAGGCTTAATTTGGTCTACAATGTCTCTGTGTATACAGATTTTCTTTAAATTTGGACAGGCCCAGTCTGGTCTTTTATTGCCATGTGTATACAGGTTTCTACAGGACTAATTAGACAATAGCTAAAAGACATTAATGTTCCTTAACCTGGGCAGATGCAAAAGTCAATCCAAGGTTCTTTTACATGTTGGATCCAAACACTTGGTTGCTGACACACCGTATCGGCATTTTGAAGCGAGTGTCTACAAGAATGTTATCAATCTTCAGGTCTCTGTAGAGAAAAAAAAATGTTAGGTCTGCAGTTCAGACAATTATCCCCCCTTATAACCCATGTATTATTATACAGGATTTATATAGCGCCAACAGTTAGCTCAGCACTTTACATAACGGGAGACAGTACAGCAACAATACAGTTCAATACAAGAGGGATAGGAGGGCTCTGATCCTTGGAGCTTACAATCTAGGAGATATATCCCAAAATTACTCATCAATAGAAAGATGAACAATCACAAAGCTCCCTTTTCTAGCACTGCCCATACACATCATGATACAATCCAGGAAACAGTTGTATCTTTTTGAACTAATTGCAAAATGAGCTGTACTGTCAGACTTGCCTACCACCATACAGACTATATTGGGCTGTTTATAAACAATCTTATGTCCTCTGATCACTGTGTAAGCCATCCTTGAACCCTCAGTACACAAGAAAACAGTGTACAGAGCTGATCTGAATGGCTCAGCACATTGTGGATGTCCAACAGTGATTACAAAGCTTGTCCATTCCCTTTCTCTTACTGAAGGGGCCCATTGTGATCACTTATGAATGGGGAATAAATGGATCCAGGAACCATTCATTCATTTTCAATGACAATGGAATTTTTTTTTAACCCTTTCATCCACTCTTGTATTCAGATTTCCAGTTAGTATTTCTAGGTGATCTGTATAGTAACCTTTCACCTCCTTTATCCAGCACATGCATGTGTGCATTAACCCCTTATCTCCATCCCCCCATTGTATGTATCATGTACACTAACCCCTTTAACGGGGTTTCTACCTTCCCTGTCCTTTTTTAGCCTTGCTTCTTGATAGCAGTGCGGCTTGTGATGTGTGAGGGCAGCCCATTCGTTTCCATGAGCTGCCCTAATTGTAACATTTCTGATTTTTTTAAAAGTGCTGCAGTGAGCCCCACGGTGCCATGCGGTTGTTGATGTGTTGGAGTTCCATGACTATCTTGCTGACAGCAATTACTCCTTGTGCACTAAACTAATGGTGAAGATATGAAACTAATTGCAAAAATGAATCTGTTCAATTAAAATAACAAATGCATCTGCAAATTCTTCAATTTGGAATGTATCCGAAACAAAATGAAAATTTGCAACATGCCCAAGTCATAAATCATAAAGCTCCATGTTTTAACCACCTCAACATTTTTTTTTTTTTTTTCGGTAAAATGTTGTGGCAAAAAATGATCAACTTTTTGGTCATTTTGAGAGTTTCATACTGCTGGCATTTTTTTTTTAAAAGAAGGTAAGGGAAGGTTTTTTTTTTTTTTTTTTTTTGTTGTTTTTTTTGAATTTTTGGCCCTTTTTATATAGTTAAATTAGCAGTTTTTAAATACACCCAACAAAAGTTTGACCTGTCTCAAAGAATGATATCCAAGTCAATAGTACATAGAATAGGTAATCCTGGGTAATGAAGGGGATTACATGCTGGTACTTAGTGAATTAATTTTAGTTAAAAGGTCCTGTGGAAAATCCAAAAATCCAAAAATGTCCAGCAACTGTCCATTTTTAATCTAAATGGCCAGGCGAAGGGCAGCCATAGACATTGATGAAGGAAGATGAATGGGAAAGTGTACGCTCACCATTGTCCTTACAAACTGGCTTTGATAGCAGTTTTGTTGTTGAGGTGGAGGGAGGGGAGCAGCGAATTGTAAAATGATTTAAGAATGTATTAAAGTAATTACCTGTGCACTACTCCTCTGGAATGCAGGTGCTTCAGACCACACAGGAGCTCCGCGGACAGAATTCTGATCATGGAGAGGTCAGCTGGCTTCAAGTTGTTTGCTATGCCCAAGGTTTCAAATGCGTCATACACATCTCCTCCTCTCAGATAGTCCATAACATAGAATAGGTAGTAATCCTGGGGAAAGGAATATAGACAGGTTAGTGAATTAATTTTAGTTAAAAGGTCCAAATGAAAATAACATGTTATATTTTTCTACCAAAACACACTGCATGACATCTATCCATCCCATGTAGGCTATCTTCACTCCATGTACAGCTGTAGGTGACACCATTATATAATTTGTTATAGCATCTCGCTTTCAGGCAGGCAGTTGCTGTAACTACTGGATGGTTCCCTGAATAAAGCATACATGTACTAAACTTATAAGCATTGTACATTTCTTGGTAGCTTGTTTCTGGTGTCTTCTACATCTGCTTAATCTCATCATTATCAGCTTAATCTATTATTATCATCAAGCAATGTTTGTGCTCCTATATGTTACATTTTATATATATACGCTATTCGATAATTCTGTCTTTTTAACTTTTCCAAAATTAGACTTACCTCTGTCTGAAAGGCAGCATAGGCATGGCTGCAGAAAGGACTGCCCTCTGCCATCTCCAGGGCTTGGCGTTCATTGAGGACTGTGTCTGGGTTGTCATCAATTGGATTCCTCTTGTGGACCATCTTCACGGCCACCAGTCTTCCGCTGTCACGGTGTGTTGCCAGCACCACCTGTAGGAGAGAAACAGTTAGTACATCATTTTTTCCATGTGCTCTATATATAACATCATTGCTGGACCTTCCTCATGTTCAATGCATTTGTTCAATGCTTAATTATCTTTCTTTCCCCCTTCTTCTGACCTGTTGGTTTTGCCATCTGCAGAAATATGACCAACTGCCATTTGTGTCCTGTATACACAGACAGCCTCCGTCCTCCTTATTCAACCCACCAGGCTGATTCTTAAGCGTTGTAACCCAGAGCAACCAATCAGAATTCACTCTGCAGAAGTCAGACAAGGTGCATTCTGACTGGTTGCTGCACTGGCAGGCATAATCTGACACTCCACATTAAAATTTTCCCTTGCAGTGGGGGTGGGGTTATTCTGCACATGGTGTACAGTCTTCAGTGAGGATGGTCATCTTGTGTCCCCCAGTGTGTCCCCCTTGTCCCCTTAGCAGCATTTATCTTTAATCACTTACCTTCCCATAGCCTCCCTCTCCAAGTATCTTGTGTGAAAGATGAAGTCCTCTGGACCCAGGAAAGTCTTTTCACGTTGTTCACTCTCTGTGCTGTGGATCGTCGTCGGTCCGGTAACTCCTAGAGAAAGAAAGACATTTAATTTATTACCCCGTCACCATACAAATCATGTTGCTGTACTTATGCCTATTGGTAATTGAAGGCTCCAAAACAGAAATAACTGCTAACAAGGAGTACAACAGACAAAAATCGCTTACTCCGGCTATAACTGATAATTCTGTTTTGCATTTAATCAGTTAAACAGATATCAAATCAATAACTAATTCTGCTGCCAACAAGGGAATCCAAAGCCTATTCAAACAGCGCCCGTCCCTGGTATACTTGGCATTTGACTGCCATCTCACCACTCTTCATGCCATGATTATAAATAAATAAAACACTCTTATTCAGAGAGTTACTGCCAGGGCGGGTAGAAATACTGTACAGAGCAGGAAGCTATTATACCTGTCAAAAGCAAGGGAGGGGTTATAACACAAACGTCCCTTTCCCAGTGACACCAACTCCCCTAATTTTTTATCCTGGTGTCATAAGGACAGGAAGCAAGGGGAAAGCTCCTCATTGGAACACGGAGAGCAATACAATACAGATGGGTTCTAACCCCTGTCTGCTCTCTCCAAAAAAAGCATGAAAAAAAAACCTTTTTTGTCCATTAACGGTGACAGGAATCCTTTCACCTGAAGGTTCCCTTTCTGTATTTATCATCATGCTCTCGATACTGCTTTACAACAGAGGCATGCTGGGAGTGGGAGGGGTTAACCTGGGCCGGCCTACAGTTTGCCGTTTGACAGTGTCCTATCCATCTTTAGGCCGCAGTATAAAACAACTGTATACAGGTGTTAATGCTACTGACAGCCTGTATCATGTATGTCAAGTTTTATTTTGGCCAGAGTTACACTTTAACATTTCTAAATCCTCCCTATAACAAAGTAAATCTCTGCTGTTTGAATTCAGTTCTACTCTAATGTTGTTGGAGTTGATGCAGAAATACCTTCCCCTCCCCCCTATATACTATATGAAAATCCATAATATTTACCTCCTTCATCTGTTCTTCCTTTCTTGGTCACAGGACACTCACATTCAGGCTCTTCATCAGATTTCCTCTTCTTGCCTCTCTGTCCTGTTTCTGTAGCGCTGTCATATCTGCGCTGGTTTCCTCGCCGTCTCGCCATCTTCCTCTGAAGAGCCGTGTAGTGTCTCTCTAGCTAGCAGTATAATATCTGCTCGGCTTATCCTGATTCTGAGCATCTTCCTCTGAAGAGCTCTGTAATGTCTCTCTAGCAGTATAATATCTGCTGTGGTCCCTCGCCGTCTCGCCATCTTCCTCTGAAGAGCTCTGTACTGCCCTTTTCTTGGTCACAGGACTGTCACCGTCAGGCTCTTCATCAGATTTCCTCTTCTTTCCTCTCTGTTCTACAGAGCTCTGTCCTGTCTCTGTAGCGCGGTCATATTTGCTCTGCTTTCTCTGATCCTTGTCATCCTCCTCTGAAGAGCTGCAAGGCGTCCTTCTTTTCTTGGTCACAGGACTCTCACAGTCAGGCCAGAAGTATTTGACTTTTAATTATATCATAACAGAAACAGGTGTTGTTAGTATAAAGAAATAATTGGATACTATCTCCTCCTCTACCAAGGCTAAGCTAAGATAAGAAATAGAAGAATATTGTGAGTACAGTTCTGTAACACATAACTGACACAGCATATTTTCATTAACTCATTCTGGGTATAATACAAAACAATTAATCAACATGTTAGTACAAAATATAGAATGGGAGTGGGGGGGGAAACAAAATGACAGACCTAAAAGACATACATTTCCCTTCAATCCCTTCTTAAATCATTATTTACATATATATATATATATATATATATATATATATATATATATATATATGATTTCTATTCCCCCTTATACAACATGGTTCTTTTTCTGCTTCTTTTTGTATTTGGCTAGATAACTGTGGTACTCTTTTAGGTTTTGGGTTCAGTGGGACAGTTTGTTCTTAGATCTCTTCTGCATACATAGTCATACCTATACCTTTGTTCATAAGCTTCTTAATGCACAGAGGATGCAGCAAACCACAAAACCTATAGTAATATAATCAGGATAATAATAGCAAGCTGCACTAGTATCTGTTTCCAGCTAGTGAACCATCCAAAATACTGATCCCAAAAATTGTCTAAGCCGGAGTTCTTCTTAAACTCTATACAAGTCTTCGAGTTTCTTTATAGCTAATATGACTTTGCCATTTGGGCCTGTGTTGTCTAGGATGTAAATGCAACAAATATCTACCGTGTCTATGTATTTTGCATGTATCATCCTTCTCAGCTAGAATCATATCTAGGGCCATCCTGTTCTAGAGTGTCATTTGTGGAGTGGCTTCTAATTGTTCAGCAGTTCCCTTGAGGGCATCCCTAGTATCATTAACAAATCTTTGTTGATTGTAATAAATATAATTTATCCAATTAACATTCTTGTTTACGGTAACAATGAAAAATATAGACTCAAATCCAGTTGCTGCTTGGTCTTTTGGCCTTGAATTTATCTGGAACCCCTCTTGGTACCCCTATGGCATCTATATATACATGGCTAACAGCACGTGCAGTATGATACATATTACACAACCAGAGTAAGTGGGAGTTATGGGAACATTGTACAATTTGGCAGTAATCAATAATGAAGGTGGCAACCTCAGTATTTGATAAATTATACCACAATATGGTGTGGCCTGAGTCCTGTGTTATCACCACTTCACCATGGCTAGGTGCCAACAAAATCAGTATAATCAGGAGAAAGTGGCAGAACCATGGCTTAAAATTGGGGAAGCAGTTCATCTTCAGGGTCAGGGTTTTCTACCCCCGTTAGTACCTCCTTTCCTTTTTCCCATGGGTCTGGTCCTGGGCATTTCTCGACCAGCTTCGCTCTGGAAGTATGGATCCAAGTGGGACTATGTTCAGTGAGGACTGCTGTTCTGATTACTGCTACGACCGTAGTTTCTGGTCCATAGGCAAATTCCTGTTGTTTCTTGTTTCTCATCAGCTTTTTCACCACAATACGATCTCCGGCCTGGAACGGGTGGTTATTTTCCTGTGAAAAAGACGGAAACTTGCGGATAACATCGTTCTCTTTTTGTGGGGTACATTTCTGGCCATCGGGAAAACACATCTGTGACCACACAAGCTGGTTGTTGTCCTCCCTTTGGTTGGGGTATGTGTGTAAAGTTAATTTGAAGATGTGTAAAAGGTGTTGTGGGGTAAGGCAGGTGTTGATGCATGGCTTTATTTGGGTTACTCCTGACATGTAATGCATCTTTTCATATAATCTTGTAGTAACGCCGCCATTCCTGTGATATAAAAATCTTTTTGGAATTGTTTTAGGGTTGCCTTCCATCCTATATGTCCTATCCCATGGTATTGTGCAATGTATATCGGGGTGCTACACCGTGGGATGCATGGTTTCCCCTCTTTGCAGATTAATCCAGTCTTTGGATTCTTCTGTAAAATAGGGTAGCACCAGTCTTCGAGCTCCTTTGTGGAAGCTGACTGCTGCAAAGTTGTGATCAATTGGGAATCATCTGGGAAGATGGGGCATAAAGTGGGCATCTGCAGTAAAGCAAGTTGTTGTTGAGCTACCTTTTTTTGCTTCATAATCTGCTAAAGCGTTACCTTTTGTTATATCATCGTCCCCTTTGGTATGTGCTCTGCAGTGTATGACAGCAAGTTCCTTGGGAAGTGTGAGAGAGCCTTGAGCAAATTGGCTATTAATTGGGAATGGGCAATCTTTTTCCCATCAGCTCTTATGTAGCCTCTGAGAAACTATAATACACCATGGTCATATACTGTTCCATAGGCATATTTAGAATCCGTGTAAATAGTGACAGACTGATCTTTGTACAGTTCACATGCTCTAGTGAAAACAATCAATTCAGCAGCCTGGGCTGATAGAAAAGGGATTGGTTTTACTTCTATAACGGTGTTAGGGAGTTTAACTACAGTATAGCTGGCATGATAAATGTTGTCATTTGGCCTAGTGCAGGAGCCATCTATGAAAACAACATCAGCCTTTGGGATTGGAATCTCTGATAAATCTAGTCTGGGTGAAATATTAGCCTCAATGGATTTGAGGCAGTCATGAGCGGTCCTAGATCGTTTGACGATTTGATATCCAACAGTGCGTTTAGGATCATTGCTAGACCTGAGTTGTTTGCGCTATACTTGATATGCAACATGGAATTGCTCATCAAGATAACCTCATATCCGCTGAGCCATTGGGAGGACATGTGCTGAGTGTGTATATTTCTTAGTAAAATAGCTACATTATGTGTAGTGTGCAATATCATAGAGTGTCCTAAGATGAATGACATAGACATCTCCACAGTCATAACGTAAAATGCCAACACTTTGAGACACGCAGGCATGCCTTGGACCTGAA